ACTAAAGTATAACACGTCTCTGTGAATGAGCTTAAACTTTAAGGGACAAGGCCAACACATCAACGTCGCCATCTGCAAAAAATTCAAATTCTATTCTTGCAAATCGATCGGTGAAGAGTATTGACGAGGTCGAGAACTATGTAGCTAAGATTAGTCGGCATTCAAATGCCATTTGTGATCAGCTCTAGTAAAGACTTGGAAGATGATCCCTCTTGTTCAACCATTCTTCAAAACTTTACTTCATCTCTAAGTAAAAATTGTTCCTTGGAAGCCGGCTGAAGAGTATTGGTAGTGCTATAATTTCTGAATTAGAATATTAGCTGTTTTGCCAACTTCAAACCCAAATAGGGTTTTGATCAAATACTACATTAATTGAAAATTGATTTCGAGTCTAAAAAGAACTCGTAACAAGCTTGTTTCAAGCATTTCTTTTTTTTTTCTGCTGCTATAATTTATGTTAGACACCGGTGGGAACGAGCAACGTTAATGGGGTCATCTGATTAAATGGAGAATATGAAAATTCTCGTACCATCTCGCATAAAGCAGTTTATGAAAAAGACGAGGGGGTTTGCAAAAGTGCCAGCTGGAGAGGATTTCCCTCCTATACCTAATCGTATTTAACCTGCATTTATCTGCACAATATGATCGTAGTTGCTTAGATTGTAAATTACATTATTGTCAACATGGCTTGCTGAATAGGCTAGATTACATCAAAATTTAGCGACTCAGCTTGCGAACAATCAGTAGTTCATTTTGTACATGTGATTTAGACCATCAAGGCCTTCAACCCTGGTTTTTGTTCGCTTATGCTTGTCAACTTTCAATGTACATACTGGATGAACCATCGAAGAACTCAAACGTCTAATACGCGAGACCTCCACACTGAGAATCTGATCAACTAAATTCGTTGATGCTGATGTTATCGCAGACAATTTTGTATGACTCAATAACAGGTTATTCTTGACTCCCGAAAAGTAGCAAGGTGAAATACATGATGTGTCAGCATGAACGTCATGGCCATTCTGTTGTCAATACCTGATTATCTCAAACCAATATAACATTCCTCTGCTGAGTTGTAGAGAACCCAATTAGCAAGTAAATTTCGGATATCTGGTTTTTATCATAAAAGAGTCTCGCTGACCAGCCAATCAAAATCGATTCATTTATTTCGTAATTATCCTATTTCAGTTATGGCATGCAAAGAGGGCTTTATCTGCTAAAGTCGTGCAGCAGTGTAATTTAATTTGTTGCCAGACTTTTCTTTTTTTGGAACACAGCTCTTTTCTTTTCCTACCTTCCAACGGAAGTGCGTTCTATAGAGCTTGTTTTCTTACAAGAGCTCGCCTCGCTGCTTCTTTTACCAAGTGCAGCGACAATTACCAATGCTAAAGTAACTTCCACAAGTAACATCTTCCCTCCAACAACGTATAAGTGCATTCATTGATTGTCGTTAATGTCGTAAACAATGTTGTAACTCCAGCCAGTTTTTTTACGGGATGAGAGATGAGGATAGTGCAACAAGTTCTCTTATGTATGTTTATCCGTTGCTATGACTCCTTGCTTGAGAAGTTCTCAAGTATTTTCGTGTGCATTGATTTCTTAAGGTTGCACCGCCTAGCATGGGGCATAGAGTACCCAAAACAAGGCATCAGGCATCATATGAACTCATGCTCACATATTGAGCGCGGCAAACAACAGAGCAAAGGTTCAGTGAGTTTTCAATGGGGCTTCTGATTGTATTTGTTCTGCCTTTTGAAAAATGCTGTTTACGCTCATTCCTGCAACATGAATGCACCTCAAATTCAATAGGGGCTCCGTCAATATTTTATCGACCCTAGCTGTTTTTCTCTGTTAGAATATTCGCTGGCACATCCATGAGTCAATTCTCCGTTCTGCCCTTCCTTCTACTCTTTCTCTCTCTCTCTCTCTGGAGTGTTCTGAATATTGCAGTCACAGAGTTTCTTCATCTCATTGTTCAATTGACTAGAAAACTGACCATGAAACTCGCTTTCATCCTCTTTTCTTCCGTTAACTCCTTTAGCTATCATTCCGAGCTGCTGCTTCAATACTGTGCCATTTTCAATGATCCAAGTTGAAGGAATTAGCATTTGATAGAGGTTTCTCAAACAGTGCTACACTTATGTCCGCCACACTGAAACCTACAACAGATGCCCTAATTTAGAAGTTTTGCTGGAAGAAATCATATTCGAACGCTTTGCCCTCACTCAAACTACCTTATTCTACCCGGAACAATCGGCATCTACTTCTCCGGCAAGGGAATAAAGATGGGATTATAACA